GCTGCTTTGTTGATAACTTCTTCTGTCCTGACATTTATTGGCTTTACGGAACACATTTATACAATCCAAAGATGCTGAAAATGTTATACTAACCTCTTAGTGTGAGCTTATTTCAAATCAGTATGATGAGTTAGGAGTGGGAGTATTTGAATAAATACTCTTAAATAAAGTTTCATATTAGCGGTTTTTTTTTTGTAATTCCACAATTTCTGCTCCTTTTATAAATTGAGGGTGGTTCGTGGTTATTCCTTCACTGCCAGTTTGGTTTATAAAATATTAATCAACTTTTATACCTTTAATTAAGTACACGCACAACACGTGTACACTGAAACTAGTAAGGAAAAACGTTGGAGCTGTGAAGTTACTCGGCTCAATGGACATAGTGGAAAAAGGCACGAGGATGATAAAGACATACTAGTATTAATTTACCGATCCTTCAATTTTTCGTCAATATTTCTTTTGAGCTAATTCTTTCTGTGTTTCTATTTCTTTATTTTTTTTAAAAAATTTCAAACGTGACCGCCATATTTGCATTGTTTGTCAGTTTTTCTCGTTCGGTAATTTTAACTTTCTTCATTCCCTACAAACTAACATAAAGTTTATGTGTTAAAATTCATAAAAATTATAAAAAATAATAGATAAAATGCATGTTACATTCATTGAAGATTTGTGATGTGTATAGGATGTACTCGATGTATCTGAGCCTGTCCCACCGATGTATTAAAAATGATACTTTGGGACAACCACGATAGCTATTCGGAGTTGCACTCAGAGACTTACGATTCCTTGACTTGCATCATCACATGGCCATCGTGTAATTCCTCAAGAAGCGTGTCATTCGCCTGTCATGTGTACTTTAAAAAAAATGAGTTCGTGCTAAAGAATCTTGAAGTTGAATTCATAAAGTTTAACTGTTAGATTCACCTCTGGTAGGAATAAGGGTGGAGCTACATGTAATAAAGAGGCTCAATTGAGTTCTTTTTATCGAATAATTATACTGTACAAATAAAGTAAAATAGTTTTATGTTTATATATAAGTCGTTAAATTCTTTTAACATAGGAAAGCACATATGATAAAAGTACTTTAAATAGGGAAAATTTCACATAAGAACAACTGAGCTCCCTACTTTTCAATTTTATAGCCCATATTCCAATTTACAATTAACTAGCCCAAAAATATAGGCTAATACTCAACATTCAACTCCAATAGATTCTCGAAATTACTATTTAGTTTTTAAAAAGATTGCTCAAGCTTTTAAGTTAATTTTTGAATCAGTAACTGTGACTCAAATATTAGTTCAACAAACCAAATCCATTTGCGTGGTGAAAATTAGATTTTTAACAAGCTTAAATATGTGGGTTTAAATATCGAATTTAATTTTGTGAGAATTTTAGAGTGGGTGTTATTTAGACTTGTTAGAAATAGTATTAGGAGATTGTATATAAAATTTGAAGTCATTTAATGGAGATTTGGACTGGTTTTGAACAAGAATGTAACTGAAAATTATGGAAGAAGTTCGTCTACAAGCCTTGTATAAATGTGTATAAGATGTGTTTATACACTCCTATACACTATTATACAAGATTATATATAATTATACAAAAAACTGACTTCGTCTTCTACCTTGCATCTTTTTTGAAATTTAACTCAAATCTTGCTCAAATCTACTCCAAATCACTTCCAATTTAAATTTTGAACTCCTTTTGATATTTTCAATCAATTGGAATTACACCCAAATCCAAACAACTAACAAACTCAAAATATCCTATTTTCAAAAGCAAAGCTTTGAATGGCCTTTTTAATGGTAGACTTCTACTCTTCAATTTTCTGACATTGAAAACAGGGGGAGAAGCAGAAAATACACGGCCCGTTGAGCATATGTAAGATGTGAGAAGAAGAGAGAGTGAATGGTTGTAAGAATACAAATTTTGGATTTGCTAATGCTTTCAAAATATGTACAACACGGGCTAGGTAGGGTAAAACTTAAAAACATGGGCCATTTTTTGTTATGGTGTGAAGTCATTGTATTTTCTTGTAATTCTTTCCTTTAAAAATAGTGCCTTAAGTCCCAAGTTTAAATTTTATATGTGATATTTTTTTTTCTTTTTTTGTGTTTCCTTAAATGGAAGTTTGACCCTGCCACTAATAGGAGGATGATAAAAAGAAATTTTGACAATATAAAGATTCTTTTACATTATTACTGAATTTTCTCGAATTTTTTTTTTTCAAATTAATTCATTCTGTTTTTCTCTTTTTCTTTTTTATTAATTTTTCAAAATACCGTTATCACCGCCAAAAATTAGTTTGTCAGTTATCTTCTATTCGGTTTTTGCATAGCATGACAGTTAAATATATTCCTTCTCTACAAAACGAACATATCCATAAATTCAGTTTTACTCTCTCCCACTTCCTCTCTTTTCTGAAATTTTTCCTTCTTTACTCCGATTTAGTAAGGCATTGCTGTAATAATGGACGACGAACAGAAACAAAATCTGTGAGTTTATACGTATTTTCTACATTTAACTTTTTTTTTCCTCTTCATTTGGGATTAATGCAGTTGATGCTGACTCTGTTTTCTCTTTTCTTGGTTTTCAGACTTAAGAAGGGAATGCATGATATTGAAGCTAATGTTGATCAGCTAAATATTGGTTAGTCTTCCATTTTAATAAATGTTAGTAATTTGAATTTGCTTTAATGGAGACTGGCTATTTCTTGAATGGGGGACTGTTGTTTCTTGAAATTTCTCAATATTTTCGATCAATTTGGTTATTGTTATATGTGAAATGTACATCATGTTGTTCCTGATAGTTTTGCAAATGAAATGAGGCCATGTTCTTAAATTTCTGCACACATTCTTGAAAATGAAGTCATCTTCATTTTCTAACGGAAACACAGCCTCTCTACCTTCAAGGTAGGTTTGTTGTTGTTGTACACGTTCTTGAAAAGTTTGGTGATTATTGTTTTAGAAAGATATGAACAAGAAGTAGCAATTTGTTTGTGATATTACTGTTTGAAGATTTCCTAAAATATTCTTTTGAAACTCAATATCTTTTTTTATTGTGAACCCTACCACTTTCTTTTTCATTAGAATGGAGATCTAGGTCGCGAATATCATGTTATTGGAACGACGTGTTTATTTTGATTACTTATTGTGAATCATGCATTAATAATATTATTGTTTCAGTTATATATGATCGTCGAGAGGGGTTTCTGCCTGTGTGGTGGCATAATGTCTATGGGACTCGCAGCAGTGCTATGGTATTACTTGCGAAAAAATTTCTTAAGTTATTTTCATGTTTCCACTTAGATTATTTTGATTTGTATGCAATGTTCTTAATACGTCTTAAAGTTATTTTCATGTTAGATAATTGTGACTTGAATTCAGTGTTGTTTAAAAATTTCAGGCTATACAGAATGACAACTATCCTGCAATGGCTTCCTATGGTACTAACACTGTGGTATGTAATGTATTTTAATTTAAAGTTATTTTCATGTGATCCACTTAGATAATTGTGAATTGAATATAGTGTTGTTAATATTTTTAGACTGTGCAGAATGTGGCACCTTCCTATGGTCCTATGCCAAGAACATCTGAAGCAGGTTTGTTTGCATACTTCATATTTTGTTTTTAGAATCCTTTTGTCTTGATTAAATGAACATAAAAATACCACTTTAAAGATTGAACTAAAGACACATTCTTGGAATTAAGATAACAATGTTGGATTTTGCTGATCTATGAAAATGAAAGTAATAGTACAATTTTTGTAATCTGTTTAGTATCAAACTAATAACGGATATTCTGCTGTTAGGCACTTCTAACCAATCCAGAAATATGCAGACAGAAGCAAATGTCAATGCCCCTAATCCAAAAACTTGTGATGCAGGTTTGTTTAATTATTTCAATAACTTTAACATTAACTTTGTTTTTAGAATCATCAACTGTTTTAGTGGTAAGGTAATACTAAGAACTGATATTCTTGTTGTTTTTAGGATTTTTCGGCCAGTCTAACTAGCTCTTGAATGAAGATTGCTGATATACAACTTCACTTCCTTGATACTACTTTCTTAAGCTTGTCCTGTACAAACGAAAAATGTCTTAAGCTCTCAGGCCTATGATTACACTCTTATTATTGCCTATCCCTTATTAACAAATTCTTTGGCTTTATGTATGTATGTATGTATGTGTGTGTGTGTTTTAACTACTAAGAAGAAGGAGATGGTAAAATGCACACTGAATCTCTTGTAGGTAAGATAATAGTATTTTTTTCCCCTAGTATTAAGAAAATAGAACTAAAAGTAATTCAGTTGTTATTTCGAATTTAGTTGCAATTCAGTTGAATCCATACAATTTTAGCTTGGACCAATGAACTGCAATTACGTCCGTTCCAACTTCCAAGAACAATATTATATCTCATGACAAGACCTTTTTTAAGCAGACGCTTAGGACATGAATAGTGGTGGCAAAATAAATTTAAAAAAAAAAAAAATTCATCCATATTATCCACTAAAAATGGGTTAAATAATAGATTTTATAAAAATGAGTCAGATGTGGATAAGATCCATATTATCCACTTGAACATGAATAACCAATGAGTTTAACTTTTACATTTACAAAGAATCAAATTGGAGGTTCCTCAATTTTGATAGACTAGAAATTCTCTCGAAAGTGATCATACTCAAAAGACCATGGATAATATGGATATTTGCCGATTAACCCATTTTCTACCCATATTAAATATGGGTCGTGTCGAATATTTTATCCGTTTCGACCCGACCAAACCTGACCCGCCCGTTTGCCACCCCTGAACATGGATGTTAAGGTCGTATTTCTTCAAACCTCAACTAAGAAACACCCACTCCTTACTGAATTAAACAAAAGAACCTATTTCTGTTTCTGTAAAACTCCGAAAAATTCTGTTTCAGAACTTCAGAAACAGATGATAATTAACAAGTTAACCTTCAACTGAAAAAAGGAAGGAAATTAAATCAAGAAAACATACATCATAAAAGTAGCTCAACTAGTTATAATGACCAATGCATCTGAACCACAGCATTACAATACTAGAAAAGGTTTTTACAGAAAAGAAAAAAAACAAATGGGCTCGAAGAAGTTATGTCGTAACCATGTTATAGCTAAACTGTTTATCGTTCACATTACAACCAACCATGATTCAAAAGGAGTACATTAGCAATTACAGTGCAATCAGTGTTACTTACCAGAAATATAGCAAAAACTTGTCCATCCAGAATAAAAATATTCAAGCATACAAAGCTGCTGGCTTGTTCGATGATCTACTAATCCCATTTTGATATGGCTTGCAGGTTGTATCCTGAGGGAAATGCAGGTATTACAGTAAAAGCAAATTCTACAGTGTCCTATTATCATGCGCACCTTTTATTCTCCTATATTTGCAATTTATGAGCAAAACACAACTGAAAAATACTACCTCCGGTCCATATTATCTCGTCTCCTAAGGTTTTTGCATATACAATAAGAAAGACATTTAATAACTTTGATCATAAGAATATTTAGAAATGATCATGTAGAAGCTCCTCTTTCATGTGCAGGTATAGACTTCTTTGGATCCTATCTTAAACTATCATTTATCTCTTAAGCACCTCACTTAGTTAAACCTACTTTTTACTAATTAGAATAGTAAGTCTGAATTTGGAACCAAAAAAAGTAATAAATGCTTCTCGTTTTTTTAAAGCGTCAAATATTTGTTTCTTGGGTGGACAGGATGGAGTACTATCAAAGATAAAAAATGTACACAAGATGTTAATACATCTGCCTAGTCTTCATCCTGCCCATAAGGAGGAGAAGAGGGGAACAAAGAGGGGACAAGTAGGATATTTAACAAGTTAAAAAATAAATAGGAGCATTTCAAATATCAATTTTCAAGTTCAGGTATGAAGAGTTAGCATTTTTCTTTTGTTCAAACAAAGAAAAATGCTAAAAGTTTTTTCTATTTGGAAGCGTGTTAGGTCTAATTCCTATACTTTGGCTGAGTTATTCATAACTGCATATTTACAATACAGGCTTAGAAGTCCAATTTTTAGTTCAGATTGAGGCATAGTTGAACAGATATTGATATTATTATTTTTGAAATTTTATAGTCTACAGAGCAGAAAACACTTACCTCGCAATCCCATATGGCCCCAACACATTTGGAAAAACTAATACTAGAACTTCTAAGCATGCAACGTTCGGTATTCTTTGGTGTACAATGGCCAGTCTCCCTATGACCTTCGACTGTATTAGCAGTGTCCAATTTCTTTGGTGTACAATGGCTAGTCTCAGTTTGACCTTCAACTGTATTAGCAGCATCCAATTTCTTGACCCTAGGGGAACTCGGGGGGCTTGGAAGGCATCTATGAGCCACAGCAGCTACAACTTGCCTTTCAAAATCACCATTCTTATCGGTTTCCTCATCTATCGAAGTACAGACTCGTTCTCTGCAGATAATTATGAGGCTATTCAGGTAAGACAAATTCATTAAACTATTTACTATATACAACAGAAAAAGAACATCAAGGACATTTCACCTGGGCAAGGAGGCATATCGTCTTGGAAAGAGAGTACTTCCACCTCTACCACTGTGTCCCTCGAGATGGTCAAATTGTTGTTTGAAGCAATCAACCCCACTAAAAATGTAGTTTTTCAATTAGCTAATAATTCAATATGAAATGCAGTGCACTCACCAGAAACAGGGAGGACTTCAGAAGCAAAAGTAGGCGAATTGTTAGAAGCCTTTCAAGCAAAAGGAGAAAGCACAGGAAACCTCAGATTAAGTCCCGTGATTCCTGTTTTCGAGAAGGATTTAGGTCCCATGATTCTGAAGGTAAATTCAATGATTCACTTCACTATCCTTGTTAGACTTGATTAACCTTTCCCCTAGACTAAGTGATGCGTGAACAAATTACGTGATTTGTCCATCACTCCTTTTAAATATTAAAAGTCAGATCATGATACCGATCCCCAAAAAATGTAGCAGCTTTACAAATGTCAGTGGACAAACATTATTGTTACCTCCAAAAGTAAAGCAATTTCCTTATCAAATTGATTGATCTTGCCAAATGACCAGTCATCTTTGACTAAGGTATAATCACCATATTAGATCACGACTAAGATAGAATCATCATATTTACTGGTATAAATCTTTAGGAGAAATTACCGTAAAATGGTAAGCAATAGTCTTGCACGGTATATTGTCGTCCTAACTGTTTTAGACTATACTCAAGTAAAGGTACAACAACTTAAGTGACAGTTTTTACATGCATACAAGGTATGCAGATATGATTAAATGCAGCTATACTTTACGTTGATAATAGAAAAGGGTGCTAATCTAATATGCACCCTAATAGGAAAAGATATGTATTATTTATATGCTTTGGATCCAAGGAGTGAACGAATTTGGGATTCATTCCCAAACATGGTGCTTGCTCATCAGTGAAGCTTCAAAATGCACAATCAATTTGTAGATATTGCAGTAGATGGCAGATAGTATGATAGCTGAAATTACCAATGTTAAACAATGAGAAATACACAGTTTCAAGCATGAATCCACAGCCTATGGCCTATATCGCTTGCAGACATGGAAATTAATTGGATATGTAAGGGGAATAGATCACATATTGACCGCAATTTGCACAAGTGATAACTCCATTGAGAAAGTTAGTACCAACAAACAAAATGATGTTCTCAGTGGGTGGAAATATATATATATATCATCTTGTGAAATACTTGAGTGGTAGAGTTGTGCATGCAATTGACAACCCTCGTGAGCATCATTGTATTTAGATCTAATAATGTTGTGTGTGTGTGTGTGTGTGTGTGTGAGAGAGAGAGAGAGAGAGAGAGAGAGAGAGAGAGAGACCCTAAATTGCTGGCCCAGTATTTTAATTATGTGCAATGGCAGCATCACATTACCCTCTCTACCTTCACAAGGTAGAGGTAAGGTCTGCGTACCATTACCCTCCCCAGATCCCACTTGTGGGATTACACCAAGTTTTTAGTTGTTGTTGCAATGGCAGCATCAATTTACTTCAATGATCAGAGCTGGTAAAGTTTGCCCTGAAAGATCATTCTATTTTCGCCTGTTAGAGGCACTATGACTCAAATTTATTACACTACTCACAGATTCCACCAAATAACATTGGTCTCGACCTAGCCTGACTAATGCCTAGTCTTACTTCCTGAAAAAACATTATGGTAGATCTAATTGTCTTATACTGTACATGCAAATGGCCCATTATACGGAATGATATTATTAGCCATTCATTCAACACACCGAATATTTTTCTCTCACAAGTTACAATTATTTCACAAGTCCATTCCATCTACCTATCAAAATAAAAAGTCAGCACTTGTATTGAATGATATCAGATTCTAGAAACACTTGTGACTCTCATTAGCAGCAGATTTATCCTTACTTATCAACCATGAGTGTCCGTTAGAGATGTATAATATTATATGTATCAAGAAACAGGTGGAAATGAATTGCCAATGTAAGAATAACATGTTAAGTTTGAAAATGAAGAATAAAAATTGTATGAGAACATTAGTACGCAATGATGCAGACTGAAGGATATGACTTCTACCACTATAGGTCTGCCAGTCCTCATCCTAAAAGGTTCAACTAAGTATTTTTTGGAAGTACAATACACGGATCATGAATTTCTAGTTAATGCATGATAGCATATAGGTGTTTTTTTTGGGGGGTGGGTGGGATTTCACCAAGACTATGGTAAAATGAGTTAGATCATCAGAAAAAATGGTGTTCGAGCCATAGCTAGCTAGAAATATACTATTTAGATAAAAAAGTTTGCAGTACCTTGGATACATAAAGTGAGTGTGATCATTGCCATGAAGATACTCCTTCAGCATCTGAGGGTGATATTCCAGAATCTGCACAGTGGAGAACAATGTACACTGTAAGTAGTAGAAGAAGGTGCAAAATGAAGGTCAAGAAAAGATGAAATTGGTTGTTAATGCACATACCTCCCGGTAAATGAGCTCTCTAATATCCTCTTTTCCGAGTTTTCTTCGATCAAAGTCAAATTCAAATTTTGAGATAGTCTGAGATGATGGTTCCTGTTCCTTGTTTGCCAAACCACGGAAATATGGATGTGCCAGCGCCTGAGGTGATTAATGAATTGCTAGATTAGGTCAGGATAAATTAAATTACAAACTAAAAACAAATGCCTAATGACACCGTTACATCATACCTCTTCAGCAGAAGGACGATCTTTTGGATTGAATGCAATCAAACGCTCAAGTAACTTAAGAGCTAGTGGATCAATGTGTGGGAATTTGTCTGAGAGAGGGATAGGTGCCTTCCTCTTCATGCTGCTTAAATATCTCCTTGCTTTTTCATTTTTAATCTGCAGATATAAGGAAAATTGGAACAAGATCTATTCAAGATTTGTTACTAGATAATGCTTATCAACTGTAACAGATGGATAGAAAGAACAAACCCTTGAGATGGCTTCAGTGGACGGCGAACCAAGCAAATCAGTTATGACATCCAATTGGTGAACCGCATTCTTCCCCGGAAATAATGGTTTTCCTGTAAGCATTTCTGCAAATATACATCCTATACTCCAGATATCAACTGCTGGGGTGTACTGCAATTAAGTCTTTTGTCTTAGAATTTGTACAAATTTCTGAAAGATCGTTTGCAATAATAAAGTCATCACAAGTGAGAAACAATGATGGCTTACCCACCATCTCCTTAGGCATATGTTAAGTTCAAATTAGACCACCAAAACCTAATGCTCGTCGGCACAGTCTAACCATGATTACAATCTTGTCAAGTGTGCCATCCACCAGTACAGTTTTCACAAAAACTAATCATTTCCCTTTGCTCAGATGGGTAAACTTGTCAAAGACACAGAAAAGCATATAAAAGAGGATATTTTCACTCCAATCTCCCAAGGTCACACTTTCCAATGAGCCTAGCTTCCTATTTCCCCTCTCCCTACATTCACAAAATCTCTGTTTTGGGAGATCCCAAAATTTTGACACACTTAAATTAATAGGTGTTCTATATGATTGTTATTTCTTTCAAACAATTCAAATAAATCAATGATATGATATTCTCCATCAGACCAATTTGTCAACTATGTCCTTAAATGGGTAAAAAACAATCAAGTAGAAACAGGGTAATTCAAAGGGATTAAAGCAGTACTAATATCACTTAAGCAGTAGGCATCACTTTGGATAGAACTAAAGAGTCAGCATTTTTATTTTATCAATAAGGGTCTAATTTTCCAGAATTTTGATCGTTTGAAGAGTACAAGAATGAACCAACCATCTAAGTCTAAAATTATTCATTTTATTTCTCTATCAACCAATGCTAGCGATAGAGAACTGAGAGACGAAACTGATACAAGGTAGAGTTGTGATGTCTGTGACCTACAAATTGGAGATAGTAGGCAGATAGTTACTACTAATTAACATAGAGATACGAAAGAGAGGCAAAGAGCCAAGAGATTCCTACTCGACGACCAAGAAGTCTGCAACTCTTCTTTTATAGTAGTTCGACCTATTGTCCTGCATCCCCTATCAGTTCATGGAAAATATAATAATGAAAAGAATTGAACTACCTACTTGCTATTCGGAGGTGAATCATTGAAAACAGTGAGGAGAGAGGATCTCTTTTTTCATAATCATAGAGTTACGGCCTCACATCTACTATTATGGACAAACTATAAAATATATATCATGTTGGTCTCTGCAATAAGCAATTGCTAGGTAACATAACAGTAAAACCCTGGATGTCTACACATCATTTTTGCTTAGAGAACATAAAATCGAGTATAACATCAGAAATAGAGTAAGAGGAAGCATTGGATAAAAGTAATTTGCCATAGACAGTTGAAAAGGGCTTTCTATAATGGTATGACATCTTGATGCATCAAATTCCAACTATTAAGTGAACATTACACTCTCAAAATGACTTAACATAAAATATCAGACTTAAAAATGAAGATTGCAAACAAGAATTGAGGGAGCTAAGGAACAATGACACTAGCAGTGTTATCAAAGGCGAAAAGCGCAAAAAAGCTCTAAGGTTTGTTGGGGCATTAAGCGCAAAGCGCAAATAAAGCGTAGGCTTTAATGATAAAAGGTGCAGCTGGAGAAAAAGTAAAAATATGTATTCGTAGTCCAAGACTAATAATTATAAGCATGAATAAAAAATATATGGACAAAAAATAGAAATTTTTTCACGATAAAGTGAAATTTAATATCTCATTTTCAGGATTACACTCATTGGTAAGGAGAAGTATGTCTTAGAGCCTTGATGCAACAGTAAAGCGCCCACAAAGCAAGGCGAAACGCTCAACATGTTTTGAGCTTCGCTTCAGGGCTTAAGCGCGCTTTAAGCGCGCCTTTGACAACACTGGACACTAGTTCATTAGATGATGAACATTGGAAAGCAAAATCCCATGCTAAGTAAAGAAGTTTCACAATATGAAATTTAAGTTTCCAATTTTAACATGAGAACACGCACCTGTAGCAATCAGATGTATACAGAGTGAGAAATAAATGTATAGAAACATGCATATTTTACCTGTATAAAATCATACTTACTTTGGAGAAAAAGGAACCACAAAGTTCTGGAGCACGGTACCAACGAGTTGCCACATAGTCCTTTAGAGAAAAAGCATGAAGCATTTTACTTGGAATTACAGGGGTAACAAATTAAAAACTTAAAGAACTGTGTTGGTTACATAATTTTCTATATTATAGTAATGTACAGAATAGAAGAGAGAAGAGCATTCCATCTTTGAAAGCACACAGAATCAGGCACTTCTATCACAGGTGTACTAACTTAACATTTTACTGTCAGCCTTGAGATATTTTTAGTGGCTATTTATATTAAAGATAGACAAAGAAAATTTAGAAGTAGAGAGATGAAGCATACAGTCCAGAAAACAGCAGATGGGGTATCGCCAAGTGATACCCGAGCAAGCCCAAAATCACAAATTTTCAGCTTGCAATCTGCATTTGCTAGAATGTTCTTTGGCTTCAAATCTCGATGGAACACGTTTGCTGTTAAATCAACAAATGTGAGAATGAGTCATCATAATGTATGTAATAACAGAAGGTCTTCAATTTACCAGAAAACAGAAAGAGAAAATCGCAACCTGTATGCATATACTTTAAACCTCGAAGAAGCTGATACATAAAGAATTGATAATGTTCAGGAGTGAGACTGTCATTTGCTTTAATTACATGTTGAAGGTCACATTCCATCAACTCAAAGACAACATATATATCCTTGAATTCCCTCGGACATGGAGGCAACAATATATGCTTTATTTCTACAATATCTGGGTGCCGAAGCAACCGAAGGAGCTTAATTTCTCTAAGAATGCGGGTGGCTTCCGAAGCATGCTCAAAAACATCATTGATCTTCTTTATTGCTACCTTTTCTCCCGTATGAGTATCAATTGCTGCTGCAACAACGCCATAGCTTCCCTTTCCAACAACCTCTTGGATTTCATATTGATGGGCTTCACCATATTCAGTGAAGAATTCTTTGAAATCCATCACCTGTAGATTTATGAGATACTATTAGAATCTAAGGTGCTCGGACTCGATTGAGGGTGTCCCGGATCCTTCATGATCTAAATTTTAAGATTCGGGGTACGGATCTAGGTATAGGGATTCGGCAAAAAATTATTCAAATACCTAAAAATAGAGTTATCAAATATGCCAAATTTACGAGGCATTAGGTGGTTTACAAGGTATTCGGAGAAGGAGAAAATATTGATCAAGAGGAGAATCCGAAAAGGAGATAAAAGAAAAAGGATTGACCTAAAAATTTCTATATACAAGGTGTTCCATCTACTTCACTTTCACCGTAGCTTTTGTTTTGATTTGAGAAATCATTTTATATGTCCGGAATTTCTCCAACGATTTTGGTCAAAGTACCATAAATTGATTGACTAGATCTAGAACGGATCCCACACCCACACCCATGTCGTCTCGACACGGGTAAGTAACTTAGATTAGAATTCCTCTTAGACAAAGAGGCAAGGTCCATAAGAGATGCAGAAGGATATCAATTTCCCACATTTTCTGAATAACTTTAAAATATAAATCTGGAGGGAACCCCGTTTGGCCATACATTTTGGCAATGTTTTTTCAAATCTTTTTTGAAAACATTGTTTGTTTATAGATTAATGATCTATTTTTGAAAAATTTCTGAAATTATTTTTCAAGTTCCCAAAATGTAGTTTAGGGTAGATTTTGGGTGAAACTTGCTCTCCCACTCACAAAACTTCAAAAAAATTTCAAATAAAATGCATGTCCAAACATAACTTCAACTTCCAAAAATTATTTTTCAAAACTACTTCAAAAATTATTTTTTCAAGTTTCAACTAAATCTATGTCCAAACGCTAGCGAAATCTTCTCTTTTCCTCTTGTAACTACGGTTTAAATGCCAAGCTCTACCCCGCACATTAAACAACATAATATTTTTTCCAGTGCAACAAATCTCATTGTACTGAACATTCTTAACACTGTGTCAGAAAAAGTACATGAAACAGATAGAAGCTAAGGATATGACATGGATCCTAAGTATATATAGGTCAAATATTACTTTTTACACAAATATATTAAATCTTGAACGCCCTTAGGTGAATTGCTTGCTTCACCACCCCCACCCCCCAACCAACTATGAAAAAGAAAGATAAATTAAATGATGACGAAGAAGAATAAGAAAATTTACCATTTTTTTGGTACTTAGACTTGTAAAGAAGATGGATGCTGTTTAAATCACTTTCAAGACCTGCAATGCATCAAATGAAATTAGAACTAAATATCAGCTAATTTAATCTTTTTAATGAGCAAAAACGCCAACCATAAACATTCATATTCTATTCAACCACATTCCAAATATTCAGAGTATAGTCCTGAAGAAAATAAAACAAGGATCATGAATCAAATAATACCTCTGTAAATCATCCAACTACATTAAAAATGAAGAAGCAATTCTAGTGTATATATAAAAACACAACAAAATTAACAAGCAAAAACAAACAAAAGATTAGATCTTGAATGAAAAAATTCACCTCAATAATAATGGGTCTCTGAAGAGATCTAAAAACAGCTTATTAATTTGATACTCCTTTTCCAAGTTCCAAGCTTTAAGGGATTGACAATTATATGTATTACTTATAATTCCAGGAAAAGGTACAAAGTCTACAGAAATGAACAGGTAAAACCAACCCCAGTTGAAAACGTTTTATATTTATGGCAAGTTGATTAAATATTAAAAATAAAAGTTGGGGAAAAAGCCTAGATTGAATATGTCAGCTGTCTTTATCAAAAATCTTTCCCACTAGCTGTTTTTTCAAATAAAGAAATGGGCTTTAGAGTTAGGGGAGGGAGGTGTGTTAGATTTATTTAAATAAATAAAAAAAGATGGGGAGAAATAAACAACGAAATGGGCGTAGATACAATCGTTCGCCATCCAATCCAGCATATAAATACGTAGTGATGTTTTGGTTGAACGGATAAAGGATAATAACTTCCGTAATAAATTACGTATTTTGTGTTTGATAATTTTTTAATTCTAAAATTAATAATTTTAGGACTATTTACAGAAAGAATTACGAAAAAATACACCTCACTTCACACCATAACAAACAAATAGCCCATGTTTTTAATTTTTACTCGACCTAGCCCACATTGTACATCTTTTGAAAGGACTAGCAAATTCAAAATCTGTGTTCTTACAACTATTGCTTCTAAAAGTTATGGAGTTAACAGCATGTTTGGCCAAGCTTATAAAATCAGCTTATTTTGAGAAGTGTTTTTCTCAAAAGTACCTTTAAAAAATGTACTTTTGGTGAGAAGCAGTTTGTTAATTTGAAAAGCACTTTTGAGCAGTAATTAGTGTTTGGCCAAGCTTTTGAAAACTGCTTCTAAGTATATTTTTCTCAAAAGTGCTTCTCAGAAAAGTGCTTTTGGAGAGAAACTACTTGTTTCTGCTTCTCAAAAACTGCTTCTGCTTCTCCTCAAAAGCTCTTTTTTTCCTTCCAAAAGCTTGGCCAAACACCTCAATTTTTGGCCAAAAGTGTTTTGGCCAAAAAAGCACTTTTGGCCCCCAAAAAAGCTTGGCCAAACAAGCTATAAATTTGTGTTCTCGCAACCATTACTTTCACTCCCTCTTCTTCTCAGATCTTCTACATATGCTTCAATGGGCCGTGTATTTTCTGTTTCTCCTCTTGTGTCACTTGCTTGCAATGTAAGAAAATTGAAGAGTAGAAGTCCACCATTGAAGACCATTCAAAGCTTTGCTTTCGAAAATGAGTTTTTTTGAATTTGTTAGTTGTTTGGATTGGTGTTGTTCCAATTGATTAAAAATATCAAAAGAAGTTCAAAATTTAAATTTGAAGTGATGAGTAGATTTGAGCAAGATTTGAGTTAAATTTCAGAAAAGACGCAAGGAAGAAGACGAAGTCAGTTTTTTGTATAATCTTGTATAATAGTGTATATGAGTGTAGAAATACACCTTATACACTATTATACACTTTTATACACCTTTATACACGCGTCTGTAGACGAACTTCTTCCACGATTTTCAGTTGCAATTTTTGTTCAAAACCAGTCTCCATTAAATGACTTCAAATTTTTTATTCAACATCCTTATACTATTTCTAACAAGTCTAAATAACACCCACTTCAAATTTCTCACAAAAACAAATTCGGAATTTAAACGCACATACTTAAGCTTGTTAAAAATTTTATTTTCACCACCCAAATAAATTTGGTTTGTTGAACTTATTTGAGTCACAGTTACTGATTCGAAAATTAATTTAAAAGCTTGAGAAATCTTTTTTTAAAATTAAATACTAATTTTGAGAACCTATTGGAGTTGGATGTTGAATCTTAGCCTATTATTTTTGGGCTAGTTGGTTGTAAATTGAAATATGGACTATAAAATTGAAAAGTAGGGAGCTCAATTATTCTAATGTGAAATTTCCCTTATTTATTGTAGAATAAACAATATTATCTCACGAACTGAAATATCTTATATGATTGGCTATCTCATCTTCTATATAGGACAAGTAATCTCATCATTTTAGTATAAATTTATCCTACCATTAATATACATAATCAAATATGAGATAAATCTAATTTCATATTCTATATTCTATACACATATCCTTATCCTGGTAACCACACGATCCCTAATTGTGGTATTATTTTTAGTTAGTTGAATGAACGAGAATCGTAAAGTCTTAGGTTTAAATCCTAGCAGAAGCAAAAAAATTAATATGTTATTTCTTTTTATCTATTCAAGCCTTGGTAGATAAAGTTATTTTGTGCATGTTGCTAGTGAAAAATGGCAGGTATTCCGTGAAATTAGTCGAAGTGGGGACACCGAAGTTATTAAAAAAAGTAATAAAATTAGATCTATCAATTAATTTCATTTTTACATATTAAAAATTTGAATTTAAATTTAATACTTACTCATTACGTTTCAATTTATGTTAACCTATTTCCTTTTTACTCCTTGACAAAAAGAATGACCTTTTACTATATTTGAAAATAATTTACCTTTATGCAATAATTTATAGCCACACAAAATATATATGCCTTATTTTTTATCACAAGTTTAAATTTTTTTTTTTCATCTTCATCAAATAAGTTCACATAAATTGAAACAGAGAGAATATAATTTATCTACAAAAATCAAATATTCGGGTGCACCTATATTTTTTATTCTATCAAAAAATTCGAATAAAATAAATAGAAATGGAGAATTGATGAATAATGAAAGAGTAGGATCCGATGCAGAGCTTAAACTACAGGACAAGAGTTGTAAATTGAATGCGTAAACAGTGGGAACGTCCGACACCTTAAATTGCGAGCCTTATCTTATCTTCTCCTTTTTTTTCTGACAAATTGTCTGCGTCCACAACAATAATATCAAGAGAGAGAAAGCAAGTTATTGAATCAACTGACCTAAGCTTAAGCTCCTTCAGTTTCAGAATAATATAAGGAAAGAAAGACGAAAGTCTGATAAATTCTTAAGAATAACGCGTCAAATACTTTTAATAGTCCCGAAGGGACGGCCCAGTTGGGTTTGGAGGGAGTTGTCCACAGGGCGACGCGGTTCGATCCCCCCTCAATGTTCTTTGAGTTTGAGCCCAGTTGAGTTTGGAGGGAGTTGTCCTTCGGGACGGCCCAGTTGGATTTGGAGAGAGTTGTCCACAGGGGCGATGCGGGTTCGATCCCCCCTCAATGTTCTTTGGGTTTGAGCCCAGTAGGGTTTGGAGGGAGTTGTCCACACGGACGATGCTGGTTCTATTCCCCCTCAATGTTCTTTGGGCCTGAGTCTGTCGCACGGGGCTTGTCTAGTGCGGTTTATATCCCCTGTGTGGTTTGCAGGTTATTACACAGTGAGGTTGTAGCGCTGTGGGTTCGATCCCCCCTCAATGTTCTTTGGGTCTGAGCCCAGTTGGGTTTGGAGGGAGTTGTCCACACGGGCGACGCTGGTTCGATCCCCCCTCAATGCTCATTGGGTCTGAGCCTGTCGCACGGGGCTTGCCTAGTGCGGTTTATATCCCCTGTGTGGTCTACAGGTTATTACACAGTCAGATTGTAGCGGCTGTGAGTTTTTTTGGGATTCCAAAAAAAATAGTTTTAATATTAATTACCTATAGAATAGGCGATCATCCGCAGCCATTACAGTGATATGCAAGTTGTTATGATGATTAATCATTTGCTCTTCAGTAAGTTTTATGCACTTAAAATATGTTTAGTCAATTACATTAATTACACATCAATAACAACATATTTTTCTTTATAACCATTTGGTATTCGAAAATTATTGGCTCGACTAATTAAAATTTGTGTTGCGTAAGATTTATAAGAGATAAGGTATTCCCTACCCTACCGAGGGTCTCTTCATTTCTAGAGTAAAAATTTCATAGGGCATCCTATTTGGTCACCCTCACCCAACATGTACCCACTTTTAAAAAAAAAAGTTTAACTGATATTAATGTTTTTGATAACTTCGGATACATACATTTTTCTTCTTTTCTTAGTTTGCAAAACACCATTGTAGGTTGTGCTTAAGGTTCTTCTTCTTAGTTGCAAAATAGGTTTGCTAGATTTGTTGTTGTTTTGATAATTTGATCATTGGAGTTCGTTCTTTATGATATTTAAAAGTTATGTTCAAGTTTGAGCTCATTTGGAGTAGATTACGCGTTGAATCGTGTGTTGAATTGTTGAAATTCGAATAACCAGTTTATGTTTCAGAACTTAAGATTCGAAATCTAAAGTTGCATTGAAGAGATTGAACTGCTTAAGATTTGAGTTTTCTGAAATTGCATTTTGAAAGATAGAAAAACTTAAGATTTGATTTCTAAAGTTGCATCGAATAGATTGAACAACTTAAGATTTGAACTTCTGAAAGTTGCATTTGAAAGATAGAAGAACCTAAGATTTGATTTTTGAAGTTGCATTGAAGAGATTGAATTACTTAAGATTCGAATTTCTAAAGTTACATTTGAAAGATAGAAGAACTTAAGATTTAATTTCTGAAGTTGCATTGAATAGATAGAACTATTTAAGGTAGAAGAACCTAAAATTTTTTTTTGAAGTTGCATTGATTCGAATTTTTGAAGTTGCATTGAATAGATAGAATTACTTCATATTTCGATGGGTGAATTTTATAAATTTTTATATATGCAATATGGATATAACTTCAATGGCCTCAAAAGTAGGTTTTTGTGCAAATGCCCATTTTCAGAGCTCAAATCAGAAACCTTAAATTAAAAATGAACGAATATTTTTCATGTCACTGCACTCCTTGCGGTAACGGAATAACTCTGTATAAAGTTATTGATTGATAATTTGAGTAAACTAGAAAGTTGCTCATTATAACTAATTAAATTACAGTAATATATATAAAAAAAAGTAATAATATTAGTGCTTATAGTTATTATTTAAATTAGTTTAGTCGATATCAAGTCTTACAAATACAGTAAGATTTGTAAACAATTGAACACAATTTTATCATTCCGACAAGACTTGTAAATAGTTTAGTAAGATAAATAGAATGAAGATTGTACTGAAGTTATGCCATCGCGGTATCCAAAGGCTAAAAGTTTTAGTGAGAGAAGCTCCTCCCACTCTCTAAAACCTATAGTAGTTCTTCATCAAACCTCATTCGGTATGACTACGATGTTAAACCGTCTTTTGCCACCAAAACCACCAGATAAAAATCCTACTTC